CTCTCTCTCTCTCTCTCTCTCTCTCTCTCTCACACACACACACACACACACACACACACACACACACACACACACACACACCCTTCATTCCTTCATTTGTCTCCCTTACCTCAAGTTAAGGTTAACTTTAAGCTTCCTAATGGTAAACCTTAGAAGCATCTGAATTCATGGCATTTTACGCAAGAACAATCCACTTGAACTAGTGTATGGCTAACTGAATTGGTCCATAGCTTGGAGTAAGTTCTGATAAAAAGAACCAACATGCCGGGTGGTGGTAGCACACGCTTTTAATCCCAGCACTTGGGAGGCAGAGGAAGGTGGATCTCTGTGAGTTTGAGGAGAGCCTGGGCTACAGAGCAAGATCCAGGACAGGCACTAAAACAACATAGAGAAACCCTGTCTTGAAAAAACAAAACAAAAAACAAACAAAAAAAGCAAAACAACAAACAAAAAACCCCAACATGCCAACAAAACTATACATATTTTTGCTTAGTTTTCATCTTTAAATTGGCACAAACAGCAACTGATGATGTGGTTTTCTTAGAGAAGATCACTTTATAAGAGGCAAAACTTTTTGAATATCACTAGCCTGGAAAAGTGGAGCTCTTGATTCTTCCATTAAATAGCTCTGACCATGGAAATGACATCTATTCCCTTTAGTCTTCAATCTCTCTGTTTGTAGATAGTTCCCATGAGCGTATATCTCCCTTCCTCATAGTTCTGCTTCTAAAAGGCTTTGAAATAACAGCCTGCAAAGGAAAATTCTAATGCTATCTTGCAAATTCCTAGCTGAGGATATTGGGCAACATTTTCTGTAGAAAGAGCCTTTTAATAGAGATGGAAGATCTCAAATCTTTCTTACTTCCATTTCCTATTGCCTTTGGAACTTAGAATTCATTTTATTCTACTAAATCTTATTCCATATATATATGGAATATATATAATGATGTCTCTGGCATGAATACTAGGTCACAGTAAAAATGACAAAATTGCATATAAATCTGTTCTCTACAGAAAAGAAATAATGTGTTATACTTTCTTTAAAAGTTTTGTCTGTCCCATTTAAGCTATTGTAACACTAGAGCATGCATAACTTCTTTTCTCATCTTTTTGGAAGTCCAGGATCAAGCTATAGTTTTGGTCTTTGGCCAGGACCTCTTCCTGGCATACATAAAGCTGCTTTCTCCCAGCATCTTCACATGGCCAAACAAGCTTTCATTCTCTTCCTCTTTTTGTAAGGAAATTCTTTCCACTTTGGGACTTTGTATCTCTCTCAGAATGCCCAGACAACATTTTCTGTACAAAGGATCTTTAATGGAGATGGAAGATCTCAAATTTCATGACTTCCTCTAAACCCAATTATTTCTCAAAGATCTCATATTCTAATATACCATGACATTGGGTGTTAGAAATTCAACATATGAACTTGGGGGTTCACAAATATTTGGCCCCCAAATAGCAGTATTCCTGAAGGAAAGATGTTAGCATAATTGAGGCATGCTTTGATATCCTCAAGGACAAACTTTCAGTGGACTTCAGGCAATTAACAGCTTGAGTGGCCAAAATTTTACCATTAAAAGTTTGCCAAGAGTTGAACAGCTCACCACCCATAATGTCAACTATGGAACCACCTTCCTTAACAATTTCATGCATTTTAAAATTTCCAGAAAATGCAAAGTTCTAAATGAATGGGAGAGATCAACTAGTGAGCTCTCCCATTGTGCATAGGGATTGAGAAGACTGGAAGGTAAGTTTTAGCAAATTGCTGCTTACATGAGAGATTTGTCCCTCATTGATGGACTCTCTACATTGTGTCATTAGTAGCATCAATTTACATTTCCCTGAGAGGCCAGAGTGCCATTCAAAGATTCTCATTCAGATGGGTCTACACACAGGATGTAGAGGTTGTCCTAACAATATAATCATTCTGTATGAGAAACTCAAAGCAATCTCAAAGAAAATCTTATCCCCACATCCTTCAGTTAGCAACAGGGGGCAAACAGGAAGTCAGGTTGCTAGGAGAGGGTCTCATTGCCAGCAAGCTCAATAATGTAAGTGGATATAAGCTGGCTTTGAGTAGACCAGATGGAAGAAAACACTCCTCCACCACTTTTTAAGCCATGCGACCCTGGAACCAGTGGTTTTACCTTTGTAAGAATTCAATTCCACATCGACAAGTTGATAATAATGTAGAGATGAAATAAAGCATCTGGTACACAGCATGCACTCACTGGTCTCATCTTTGTAGCAGCAAATCAAGGGCCTGAAAACAGAATTCTTGACTCCCAGCACAGTGCACTTTCCATTACATTTCATGTTAAGTGAGCACCCTCGTTGGGAAATGAGGCTATCAAGTGCATTTTTAAGAGCCTTGTCTTCTAAAATCAATCTGTTCACATTTTTAATAATGCAAGAAAGAAGTTTGAAGTTGGCCCACAGAGAGTTCTGTGAACCAAAGGTTTATTTTTAATTGGATTTTGTGTCTGTTGTTATGGAAATGGTGGTTTCATAGATTAAGCATTATGATTTTACTGCAAGATCAAGCCCAGAGTGGGGGATGAGGATGAGCTCATCCTTGTGCTTCTCTTTCTTGACAAAACACATTTAAAATTAAAAGAACGGGAGGAGAGCGGCTTCAGAAGCCTATGTTTCCAAGAAAAAAATCCCCCCTATAAAAATAGCTTTAAAATGATAAAGTCTCTTCTCAAAGATCAAAACTAAGGATGACCCAGGTTGCCAGTAGGACACAAAGCTGCTGTGACATTATTAAACACTCCTTTCTTCACTATTGAAGCTATAAAGAGCACCTTTGATCCTGGGTTTTGCTTTCAACATTTGGTTCCACTGCGTGTTTGCAGACACTGAACTCACAGCTTCCTCTAGTTGTTTAGTGATCAACTGCTGATAACTTTTCTCTCCAGAGTAGTTTTTATTCATGGATCAGGATGTGTAATCTAACTCTGTTATAGAAAATCGAGGTGCTTTCTAAATCCTAATGATGGTTGGCACTGTTTAAAGAATTGAGGCAATTCCCTTGAAAATTTTAGCTTATATTTTTGGCTCATCTTAAACTCCAAGGAGTAACTGAGTAAGACCAGACTTACATGAACATGCACTAGCACCATAAAGAAGAAGTGGGACTGGATGGCTAGTCTGTGGCTGTCCCAGCTAGTGAGCTGGTGAAAATGGGCTACTGGGGATTTCTCCCTTTGGTTCCCTGATAGTTCTTTTTTCTTCTTTCTTCCCCTCTTTGAAAATATTTTCACTCATTTATTTTTTCTCATATGATAACCTGCTGTTAACTGACTTAACTGTAGATTTGGGTGAAGGAAGCCGTGAAAGACATTCCAGACCCTCTGCCAGTAGAAAAAGCCAGGAAAGCAAATGATGCTAGGCCCTTCGCTGTATTAATGCATCTGCAAGTTGTGATACTTTAACAAAGGAGGAGAATCCATCAGTTGAAAGAATGTGTACTTAACATTATATCCTTCTAAATGAATAATATTAAATCCTTTGATCTAAATCATCATATTTAATACTTTTATTAAAATTACAATTAGGTCAACATTTGCTTTTTGTTTTCAAGTTAAAGAGAGATATAATCCCATATGGTCATATTAGTAATTGTCATTAAACATGTTTCCCAAATAATGTCTATCCCAAATCCATTTAAATTCTTCACATACATCTTTTGGAAGTGCCTTTATCAATTGACTATACTATTTTCTTTTGGCCTTTATTTGTTGATGTAAGTTAGCATCACCTTTTCCCATCCTGGCTTTTTATTGTCTTTATATTCTCTATTTTAGTCTACTTCTTCCAAGTTACTATTATTTTGATGTATTCAGAAGCATCTCCACCATACATATAGATTTGCAACTTATCGGTTTGTTATTTGGAGGTTTTTTGTTTTGTTTTTTTTTAACTTGGTTTTTAGACCAAACTGTCCATATATTTCAGAAGCTAGGAAGCTGGAAAACCCAGAAACTTGATGCATCATGGTGATACACAATTTAAGATCTGAAGAGCAGCCATAATAGGAACAGTACCAAGAGATTCTCCCCAGGGTGCTGTCGACTCCTTACCCATTCATCTAAAAATGGGTGCTAATGGCAAAGAGAATTCTCAGAAATTAGATGTCTGCTAACCCCTTCACTATTAAGAAAAGTATCACTTGAAATATCAGAAAATTCCTCTAAAAGGTGTACATGCAAACTTGGGAAGGTTTTCAGTGCAATATTGAATGTGCCTATTTATGACAGCAGGTTAATTCTCTTGTCTTATATCAATGCAAAAGGTTAAAAATTCTTCAATTGTCATACCTGAGTGTTTGTTAACTTGTCATTTTCCTTGCTTGCTATGACTCTATTGGGCTTGAAAACTGGTTCTCTCTCTCTCTCTCTCTCTCTCTCTCTCTCTCTCTCTCTCTCTCTCCCTCTCTCCCTCTCTCCCTCTCACTTCTTTCCTTTCTCTCACTCCCCACTCTCTTTTCCACTTTCTTCTCACTTTCTGTAAGGTTCATGTTCTTATCTGATTCTGATTGTCCATAATGACTGTTTGGCATATTCTGCAGGCAAAGGTCCTGAGACCCTTTTTGCCGGCTATAACCTCAATGATAACGAATGGCACACAGTGCGTGTGGTTCGTCGAGGAAAAAGCTTAAAACTGACAGTGGATGATCAACAAGCCATGACAGGTAAAGTCCCCTGCCTCTCTTACCTTTTCTTTCTTTCTTTTTATCCTTCTACCTTCTTTTGATTTTTTTATAATTTCATACCTAAGTTGAATATTTATATCATTTCCACCCTCTCCCCCTCCAATCCCCCCCGCCCCCTGTCTTAGGTATGGTTTCTATTGGGTGATAAACACTGTGGACAAAAGTGACTTCGAGAGGAAAGAGTTTATGACACTTCCACTTGTGTATCACTGTTCATCAGTGAAAGAAGACAGGGCAGGAGGAATTCAAGGCAGGAACCTAAGCAGACTGAAGCAGAAGCCAGAGAACAGTGCTGATTTTTCGCCGCTCTGACTGGTTTCTGACATGGTTTTCTCAGCCTGCTTTCTTGTAGCACCAGGAACCACCTGCCCAGGGTTGGCCCCACCCACAGTAAACTGGGCCCTCCTCCATCAGTTATCAATCAAAAAGATGCACTGCAGGCCTGCCCACACGTCAATCTGACAGGGGCATTTTCTCCATTGAAACCCGGTCCTCCAAGATGATGCTTGCTTGGGACAAGTGGGTATAAAACTTGCCAGGACTCCACCACCCCTCTCAACAGCATGACCTCTTTTGTAGCTATTATTGTTCCACTTATACACATACGTGTGTGCATATCATTGCAGTCTGAGCTCTAGTTAGATGGATTGGTACCCCAATGGTGCATCATTCACTGCCATTTGACCAGTTTTGCTTTTCTCTAGTGGTCTCTGACTGCTCAAAAGGAACCTTCTTTAATGGTGGCTGGAGGCAACACCTATCTGTGCATATAAGAACAGGTGTTTAGAAGGCAGTTGGGGATTATACTGGTTTGGGAAAGCAACAGTATGTACGTTCTTCTCTGGGGTACATGACTTCACCAGTCCTGGGTAGGCAGCTAGATTTCCAATTCCAGACATAAATTCCCTCCTATTGAATGGACCTTAAGTCCAATTAGAGGGCTGATGGTTACAAACCCCTGCCTCCCAAGATGTAAGTGCCACTATTGCAGCCATGGATATAGGCTGCCATAACTGATCCTTGTTGTGGTCCATAGAGTTGACAGCTGGGTAGGATAAGTTTTCTTCCTTGGTCCTTTTTATAGCACCTTTACATAGTATAAGAGCCAGTCTTCAGGGAGGAAAATTCCAAGTCAGTTCCAGCTGTTTCCTCCAAGTTCTGTATCTGAAGTGCATCTAGCAATAGAGTCATACTCAAGTTCTAGGAGTCAAACAAGGCAGTGGAAATAACCTATATTATTTCGGGAGTCTGTTGGACTTACCTGACCAACAACTTGAACTTAACTTTCTCACACTGGCACTAGGGTTTTGTTAGATAGTCTGTGGCTCCTGTTGGTGGGTGGGTCATTGTCGTCCAAGTTGTGTTAACTTATTTAAACTATTGATATCCATGTATAGATACGCTTCTATATGCCATGTTTCTATGTTTAAGCTTCAGATGCATTGTCTGCTGGTGGCTTTTCAAACCAAAGCCAGTACATATTTGAAGGTTAAAGTCAGTACATTTGTCATTCAGCTTGTCTACCAACCTTTGCATTTAATAAACAGCCTAATAAGTATTCCTCCAACCTGAGCATATGTGCCATGTCATTTTCCTTGTCCATTAATAATTCAAATAATTATAATATATTTTAATTTTGTGGTTTAATAATCATCTTCGCTCTCTTTATTTCTTATGCGTTTTGTTGATGAGCAGTAGAAAATTCTGTTTTCAATTCAAAACATGTTCATAAGTATACTGATATGTAGGTGTACTTTGACTTATTCACTTTCTTTAGGTTATCCTACATCATTTTGCTTGTTGATTAAATCCTAACGTTCAGAATATCCAGGTCTATTCCAGATTTACTGCCATAACCCAAGGAGGTGAGCCATATAAAGCTCTGCCTTGGACACTTAGGGAAACCAATGGAAGAGAAGTCAGCATGCCTCATCCTTGAGAACTAACTCACCCCCACTCTGTCAGCTCCTTTTTCTTTTGTAAGAAAGCTCTTGAGGTAATTATGTTAGCACAAAGCATAGAATGGTCTTGGTGCACCGGAGAGATGTGTTCCTTTCAAATTAAGTTCCAAAGGGCTTCCCCGGCTGAGCAAAGAGAGACTTCCTTAATGTGGTATGACATGTGTAGGGTTATAATTTTTGAAGGAACTATTCTGTAGATAAAGGGAAGTGAACCACAAGTTCATAGAGCTGTCATTGTCCTAGATCTCATTGGTTCTTTGTGGCAAGTTAGATTTTTTTCCCATGTGTTGGACTTCACAGGAAGAGCCTCAAAAGGAGCCTCATGTAGGAAGGTAATGTAGAGGAGCCCAGCTTGTGTTTCCCTTAATATGTCTGCAGGGGGCGCTAATGCACCTGACACATGGATCACTGTGTAGAAACCTCTTGTGCCTTGGGCTCTTCTCCTCCTGTTTGTGTACTTGTCCAACTACAATATGATAGTTTTTTTAACTTACTATTTTTTATTTTGTTATATTTTATTATTATCCTTCAGAAGCCTGTTCTTTCTTAGTGAGAGACAGAAAGGGAGTGGATCCCAATGGGAGGGGAGGTGCAGAGAAACGGAGCAATAGAGGGGGTGGAAACCATAATCATGGTGTACTGTGTGAGAAATGAATCAATTTAAATAAAAGAAAAATAAAATAAGGCAATGAATATTAAGAAACAAAACAAACAACAACAACAAACCACATGGAATGGCATAAATGTAACACAAATGTCATTCACATGAAGGCTCTGAAACTAAGATCAGGTGGTCGGGAGAGTGCTGCAGGTCAGCGAGAGTAGTTAAGGGCAGTTCTTGGAAGAGATAGAAATTATTCTTGAAGATTAGCATTAGTTGCTAAAGCAGTTGGGTGTTATCCAGACGGAGGGACTAAGCAGGGCTTGTTTGTTTATTAACTTCTCTTCTCTCATTTATTACATCCCTACAGCAGTTTCTCCTCCCTCCACTCCTCTCAGCCCTGCCCTCCACCTCTCCTCTCCCCCAAATTGACTCCTCCTCCTCTGTTTTCCTAAAATAATAATAATAATAATAATAATAATAATAATAATAATAATAATAAAGCAGACCTCCCAGGGGTATCTACCTAATATGGCCTAACAAGTTACAATAAGGCCAGGCACAAACCATCATATCAAGACTGGTGAGACAATCCAGTAGGAGGAAAAGGGTCGCAAGCACAAGTAAAAGAGTCAGAGACACCCCTAACTCCCATTGTTGGGAGTCTCACAAGAACACCAACTTAGAGAGCCATAAGCTGTATGCAGAGGACCTAGCTCAGACCCATACAGGGTCCGTGTATGTCACTTCAGTCTCCTAAGCAGTACTTAAAGCCATGGCCTTGAGTTTTAGCAGTCAGGGGCAATACATGCAAAAATCACAGCAGAGCATTGTTTTGCCTGAGTGTCTTTCACAAATAGGACACATGCATTCTCCTTTTAAAGATGACATGACTGAGGCTCAAAGAGAAGTAGATTATACTTTATTGAAATTGTTATAAGAGTTGAGAAAGAGTGTCCAAGATTGTTTGTCATTTTCTTTTCTTTCTTAGATTGGTTTTGTTCCATTGTTTTCCATAATATGATAATAAATATATAGCTCTATAATAACTACTTAACCATTTACAGCATCACATTATAAGATCATACACACACAGATGTACACATGCCTATGTACTTACCTATAAAATGGAGCTGTTAGCTGAAGATACAGAGCAATTTATGACATTGGAAATGGCTGACATAAACAAGCCTTAAGATTGGAGTTTAGAAGACATGGCTTCAGAGATACAATGAAAATATTTGAGGTTGGGTGTGGTGGCTCACACCTTTAATCCCAGCACTCTAGATGAGGAGGCAGAGAAGTCTCTGTGAGTTCCAGGCCAGTGCCCTACATAGTTCTAGAACAGCTAGGACCATATAGAGACTGTCTCAAAACAACAACAACAACAAAAACAAACAAAATGCCTAAAATATTTTACGTGGATGGGGAAGTTATTTCTCATGGTCTCCAGGCAACTTGAAACTACTACCTTTAGTCTGATTTGAGAAAAATTACTGCTGTGATGATGTAAAAGATGATTCAAGATGGCAGGTACTCACCCCGGAACGACAGTGGATTCAGGCATGGAATCAAGCTATTATGAAATTTTTTCACGTAAATTTTATTTTAAGATGATTTTAAGCGTGCAAAAAATTCCATACGTAAAAATCATGTCCCAGGCACCTGTCTGTGGCCACTGCTGTAGCAGTTTTTCCTCATTTGCTTTGACGTTCTCACTTCTTCACTCTTGTCTCACTGTCAGTTTTTCCCCTTAAATAGCTGAGGGAAAGTGATATTCAGAGTGACCTTTTAATCCCTGGATTCTTCAACATATATTTTCTAAAAGTAGAATTCTCCCCTTACACAACAAAGTAAAAGCTGTCGATTCCCACACATTTGCAGCGATCCCATCATAATTCTGTCAGCTAACTCAGTCTAGGACTGGGAACTCTATGAAGCTGTCAATGTCCCGTGAGGCTTCCGTCCACATGTTTCCATTGTGAAGTTATAGATAAGAATATGGCTTTCATTGTTTCTCTTCATACCTAATGTTGATGCGGCATTTGTTTTGTTTTTGATGAATGTGTCTTCACGATTCCTTGTCCACATTCTTGAAGGAAGTAGTACATGTTGACACCACAACCTCCTTGTGGGATCCTGTGTGGAGGCAGGAGTTGGGGTGGGTGGATGTGTTATTCAGTTTCTTCACCATGTAATTACTGTATTTTCTTTCTTGCAATTAATAAATCATCTGTGGAGAGGCATATCCAACAAGGCCTTGTACGTACCTTGTGCTTTATTAAATGTTTTCACATAATTTATCAGTTGATAAAGGTATTTGCCTGTTTCAGTCAACTAAAGTAGTTACAAAGTAATTAATTTCAGCACCCAGCATTCCCAAACATTTGTAGTCAACGTTTAGCATTCTACGGCAC